ATTTGTTTGATATGGGTCTGGCACATTCCAGGCTTAAAGATTACATTTCAGCCATCGTCTCATATCAACCTGTTGGTTCTGATGCTTCTCATTTGTTTTCTCACCCTACTGTAAAGAAATATCGAGGTCTGTGAAATATTTGTCCTCCTGTCCGACCTCCAACTCCTCAATGGTCTCTTCAGACTGTTCTGAAGGTGCTAACGCATTCTCTGTTCGAGACAATGGCTACTGCTTCTTTGAAATTCTTGTCTTTAAAGACTTTGTTCTTGGTGGCCATCACATCTGCACAAAGGCAAGTGAACTAGCCGCTGATGAGCCTTACATACAGTTTTACCCAGAGAAGGTTGTTCTCTATCCTGATGTTTCATTCCTTCTTAAAGTGATTTCAGAATTTCATGTTAATCAGCCCTTGATTCTCCCAACGTTGTTTCTCAACCCTTTGTCATATGTTGAGTGCATGCTCCACTCTCTCAATGTTCATTGGGCTTTAGCATTTTATGTATCTAGAACAAAGGACTTCTGTAAATCTCCCAGACTATTCGTCTGCTTTCATGGACCTCAGAAAGGTCATCCAGCTTCTTCCCAATTAATCTCCAGATGATTGGCTTCTGCCATCACTTTAGCCTATGAGCTGGTTGGTAAGACTCCACCAGAGGTGATCAAACCACACTCTACCAGAGGTATCGCTACTTCCACCGCATGGCTGCGTGGCATTGAACTATCTGACAACTGTTGGTCAGTGACCTGGTCTACACCATTGACCTTTGTTACCCATTATAGACTAAGAGCTAAAAAAGCCGTGAGCTTCAGAAGGGCTGTATTGACTTTGGTTCTGCCATGATGGCCTTCCTTCCGGTAAGTGAGCTTGCTAGTCACCCATTCATGTGCATTCACAGAGACCACAAAGAAGAAAGACAGGTTACTTACCTTTAACTGTTGTTCTTTGAGTGGTACTCTGTGAATCCACATGTCCTGCCCAACCTCCCCGCTATCCGTCACGACTTCTTTTGGCATTTAATTTTTCGGAGCCATTACAGCGGTGTATATTCGGAACTGAGGTACCGGCGGGTGGAACATGCGCGATACAGGGAGACGTTTCACTTGTCATTATTTTAGCTCTAGAATATTCTGAAGAGTCCTGCGCAGGCGCAGTTTAACACATTCGTGTGGATTCACAGAGTACCACCCGAAGAACAACGGTTGCAGGTAAGTAACCTATGTTTTTGGGGATAGCGTGGGAAGGGACATTGGGGGAGGCAGGGTTCCTTTTTATATTAGTGGTGTAGTGGCAGAAATCTGCCACATGGATGAGCAACAGAAAGTTTGCAGATTTGTTGGAATAAGGAAGGTAGGGAAAAATTGTTGCACTGAAGCATTTAACAAGAAGTTAGGATTTGCCACAAGCAGGCATTCAACACAAGCCTCCAGAAAGAACTAATTACATACCTAAAATGTGGTGTTGGGTACGGCCCTGCCCATAAGGGCTTCCAAGTTGGGTATAGCCTGGCCCGAGGAGGCTGGAATCAGCTGCTGGACCTCTGACATTCGTTTTCGCCTGGGAAGGCTAACAGGCAGGCTGGCAGGCAATTAGGCAGGTATTTTTTTAGGCGGGCTGGCAGGTGGACAGGCAGGCAGGCAGGAAAGTGGGCAGGGAGGTGGGTGCACGGGTGGGCATACAGATGGTATAGTGAACCATTGGCATCAGGCAGGCAGGTGGTGGGGTAGGAGAGAGAATGTCATTGGGACCCTACCTATTTGGGTTCAGTGATGGGATGACAGTCTCTCCACACTTACAGGATCCAAATACGAGCAATGTGGTCAGAGTATGTAGCCAAGGTGGGAAAACACGTGCTTGCTCTGGATGCTGGTGGGGGAGATGGAAAGGAGCTCCATGACCACATTGGACAACTCTGGCCATATTTTCCTGGATCAGAAATGGAGGAGATCTGACCGGGGGGTGGGGCGGGGAGGCTCAGCAAGATACTCCTGCACCATTGTCTCTGCCATTTAATCGTCTGCAACTGCTGCACATACCAAATGGGGAAGGAAACATCAAGCCTGTGAATCCTTCACTATTTGAGTACCCAGAAAATCCAGGAGCCAAGCCTGTGTTAATGCTAGTGGTTTGATTGTAAAGTAAAGAGAGGAAGTACCCCCTTGATCTGCTCATCAGATGAGCAGATTAAGGTATTATCCAGTAATCATTGTTCCAGATGGAATTGTATTTTGGGGACATGATAATTACTGTACTTTCCTTAATTTCATTCCTACTTCACCATTACTTTTATTTTGCTCATTAGAGTGTTCTTTTCCAGGTATTGTTCTTCAAGTACGTATACTCTTTCAAAAAACAACATTGATGTGAAATGAATGTAGTACCTTCTTTTATTCCCAGTATGAAATTCCTGTGACACATTAAAAACCCAGTTAAGATGAACCAGATATTATTTCTAAGAATGGCTTTGCACGTGACTCTAAAAACATTTCTTCTGAGCCTTTCTTGGGGTGCTTATCCATTTGTGAAAGAAGCTAACATAAGGTTCAAAATTAGTAAAGAGATAAATTATTTTTAAAACTGAATACATGTTATAAACCCTTTCTGAAAAAACTAGAACAAGAAGGTGCACTGCTTCCTGGAATATGTCAAATCCTTATGCAATTATGCAACATAAATATAAAAATATAAGTTATCCTGTACATTCCCTTCTCTGGAAATACCCTTTTAAATGTTTTGATCTTCATATGCCATGCACATTTTGTATGTCTGTCTTAATAAATATAAATTAAAAAAATTTTTTTGGGGGGGATTATGCTTGAGAGCTGCATTTGGCCCCCGGTGGCCTGCATGAGCTCCATAGACTGCATGTTGCCCCTGTGCCCATGCATGTGTATGTTTGTTTATCTGTACAAATCACTTTGTAATTTAATGTGATTAATAACTGGTCTCACACTTTTGTTATGTTACATTAATTTGACAGAAGCGTACTACTGCTTTATACTAACTTTCTTTCTTTGCCTTTGAAAAGGTGTCTTCAAAATACAGATGCAGAAGTTAAAGCAAGTTAAAAGAGGCTGATATTACTACGGCAAGAAAAAGAATGGAAGAAAAGTTACACAGCAATTCATCCATTGTCAATGGAACAACTGCTAACCAAAAACCTTTAGAAGGCCATAGCTTATGGGAAATAATTGCTATTGCTACTGTAACAGCCATTTTAAGCTTAATAACCATAGTAGGAAATGTTCTTGTAATGATATCCTTCAAAGTCAACAGCCAGCTCAAGACAGTGAACAATTACTATTTGCTCAGTCTTGCTTGTGCAGACCTCATAATTGGAATATTTTCTATGAATCTTTATACATCCTACATACTTATAGGTCACTGGTCTCTTGGAAGTCTGGCATGTGATTTGTGGCTAGCCCTGGACTATGTAGCAAGCAATGCTTCAGTAATGAATTTACTAGTTATCAGCTTTGACCGATATTTTTCTATTACACGACCGCTAACCTACAGGGCTAAACGCACACCCAGAAGGGCCGGCATTATGATTGGCCTAGCTTGGCTGATTTCTTTCATTCTGTGGGCACCAGTAATCTTATGCTGGCAGTACTTTGTAGGAGAAAGAACTGTACCACCTGGAGAATGCCAGATTCAATTTTTGTATGAACCAATTATCACCTTTGGTACTGCAATTGCTGCTTTCTACATACCTGTTTCAGTGATGACTATTTTGTATTGCCGTATTTATAAGGAAACTGAGAAACGCACCAAGGACCTCGCTGAACTGCAAGGCTCCAGTTCTGTGGCTGAGTTTGAATCAATAAAGCCCCAAAAAGCTCTGTTGAAGTCTTGCTTTGGTTGTAAGCAACAAAATTTAGCTAAAAGGGAGAGATGTCAGGCTTCATGGTCTTCATCTAGCCGAAGCATCTCTGCAACAGGAAAAACATCATCTCAGATTCAAAATGCTTGTCATGACTGGTCTAAGGCAGAGCAGCTAACTACCTGCAGCAGCTACGCCTCATCTGAAGAGGAAGATAAACATGCCTCTGATCCAGTATTTCAGGTTGCTTACAAGAGTCCAGAAAAACAGAAAGATGATGAACAGGAAGAGGAGAAAAAAGAAGTTTTTAAAGAAGATGATCCAAAGGAGAATGACTATGAGACCCAGAAATACTTTCTAACACCAACCAAAGCTCATGTTCAAAAAAGTAATAAATGTGTAGCTTATAAATTTCGCTTGGTGGTTAAAGCTGATGGTACTCCAGAAACTAACAATGGTTGCCGGAAAGTAAAAATCACACCTTGTTCTGCCACTATATCCAAGGACACTTCCATAAAAAACATGGATCCAGGTATAAATCATCAAATGACTAAAAGGAGAAGAATGGTTCTTATAAAGGAGCGAAAAGCAGCCCAGACTTTAAGTGCCATTCTTCTAGCTTTCATAATCACTTGGACCCCTTACAATATAATGGTTTTGATCTCCACGTTCTGCTCAGATTGCATTCCTCCAACTTTATGGCACCTCGGATACTGGCTATGCTATGTAAATAGTACTGTCAACCCAATCTGTTATGCCCTCTGTAACAAAACTTTCAGAAAAACCTTTAAGTTACTGCTATTCTGTCAATGGAAGAAGAAGAAAATGGAAGAAAAATTATATTGGCAGGGAAATACAAAGCTTCCTTAATTTAAATTAAAGTGTTTGGAATATAATTGACCTTGATCAAGCATTGTAAAGTAAATTGGCTGAAAGACATATTTTGTAAAGTTGTTGCTTTCCATGTCTGCAGATAAAAGAAACATAGCTTGTGTGATGGTACTTATATCCTTAAGGCTATGAAGAAAGCAGGCACAGCAAGGAACATTTCTATAATTCTGACTAGTTAAAAGAACATTGTAATTGCTGGTGATTCTAATGGAGTTGACCTATACATCCATCATGTCCCTTTATTGGGAAAGTAAAATTATACGGTCCCACGTCTTTTTTCTAATGCTTTGTTCATTTGTCTCTTAACAGAATGAAGGCATAAGGAGTGCAAGTATCAAAGGCCATTAATAAATCATGGTCATTTTTTTCAATAGACAGACTTGTTCTTGGAGTTAGCTGTAAGGCTATAAACACACTACTTGGTGTTAACACTGTTATTTTTAAATGCGACAGAGAGATAGTTTATAGGGAATATATAGTATAGTATAGTCTTTTGTAATGAAGGAGCCAATTGCAGAGTCAGCTTTGTTAGAGAAATTAACAACATGTACAAACAAAGGTAATGGTTAGTTGGTTTTAAAATTATATTTATTCTTATTTAACTGGTTATGTGGAAGTTTTATTTTTAAAATCCAGTTCTACTGTTCATGCAAAACAAAATTGACTTTATGGACTGCTTTCTTTTGTTTATAACCCTGTGCATGAGCTTCTAAGAAAAAAGAAGAATAATTAACTTCTTTACTGCCATCCTGAATACCTATCTTGTCAGACCCAAAAATTAGGTGCTTTGCTATTCCTAAGAGACCTACATAAATCCCGTAGACCTCCAGGGGAAAAACAGAAATCTGTGTTTGTAATGGCTGGCATTTATACCTATAAAGGGTTGATTCCAGAATGAAACCAAATAATCACAGACAATCATATTAATATTCATATGAATATCAAAGTATAAGTCTGCTCATTCTTGCAATAATTCCAGGCAACATAAGCTTGTCTATTTCTACGATCTTTATCTACATTGTGTCTATATTCTATATGAACAAAATACTTCAAAATTTATTCGCGAAGGCTTTCATGGCCGGGATCTAATGGTTGTTCTGGATTTTTCGGGCTCTTTGGCCGTGTTCTGAAGGTTGTTCTTCCTGACGTTTCACCAGTCTCTGTGGCCGGCATCTTCAGAGGACAGGTGAGTACAGGTTGCTGTCATCTGAATATGCCGGCCACAGAGACTGGCGAAACGTCAGGAAGAACAATCTTCAGAACACGGCCAAAGAGCCCGAAAAACCCAGAACAACCATTACTTCAAAATTGTTGTAAAATCCAAGTCTTCAATTATGTAAAAACTATAGGCATATAACTTAAGAATAAATGAAAACTGAACTTAATCGGTAAGCACATACTTAACTGAAAAATATAGGAGCAAAATATCTTTTAAGAGTAAAAAAGAAAAATGAAAATGCTTTATGTTACCGTATAAAAATGCAAAAGCTTACAGCTATAAAGTCAGAGAATATCTCTATAAAATGTCATTTGAAAGTAAAAAAAGCAGTACAGTGGTGCCTCGCATAGCGAGGTTAATCCGTTCCGGATTAACCTTCGCTATGCGAAAACATCGCTAAACGGGAATAAAAAAGCCATAGAAACGCATTGAACTTCGTTCAATGCGTTCCTATGGCTTTAAAACTCACCGTTAAGCGATGTTGTCCCATAGCGCCGCCATTTTCGCGCCCTCGGTAAGCGAGGGCAGGGCGCGAAAATGCGGCACAGACCTTCCGGCGGCCATTTTGGAACCGCCGATCAGCTGTTCTCCCGGCTTCGTTATGCGATATTCGCTAAGCGAAACGCTTAGCGAATATCGCAAAGCGAAAAATCCCCATAGGGGCCATCGCTGAGCGAATGTTCCAGCGATGGCCCAGAGCACCTCGTTAAGCGATTTCATCGCTCAGCGAGGCGCTCGTTAAGCGAGGCACCACTGTATAGCTTTAAAATTTTTAATAAACTTATTTGAAAAGCATAGAAAAATATCAACATTGTTAACATAAGAATATATATTCTTATATATTTCTTAGCCTCTAAGTATATTTAGAACACACACAAAATTACTCTCACCCACCCTAGCTAGTTAGACTCTATGGAGGAAAATCCGTGATGATTATTATACTTTAATGTCAGGTGCCCAAAGTGATGTGGATCTGGGATTATTTGATGAATGCCTATGTGTGCCCCACCTACACATATTTGTAACTGTTCACATCTCCACAGTCTATAAAGAATTCCATTCTGCTAATTCAGGTTTTTCTCACCCAGAGACTGCTGGGTATGTAACAATAGAAAATCTTACTAACTGCAGATTCTCAAATTTCTGATGTAGAAAGTAAAATGTTACCATATTTTATTATTTTTTGCTAATGTAGGAAATACTAAAATTGTAATTGTTATCCCAAGTTCTTCTAAGTTATGAAAACCAATAATTCATATATTGTTACATTTCCCAAAAAATAGTGGCATTGGACCTTTTCATTCATTTACCTTTTCATTCATTTCTGCACACACCCCATACCCATTCTCTAACACCTTATAAACACAGTTTTAAATATTGACAATCTTGCCACCTAGTTACAAACATGTTTTATTGGAAGTACCAGCTGCCTCACATATGGCAAGCCACATATAGACTTAATTTTACTTCCTACAGTAACTTGCCTTCAGTGTAGGTGTTTCATCGCAAATTAAACAACCTACAAATCCTTTACCTGTGGAACTTCGAGCACAAAAAAGGTAACTAAACTGGCAGTTGATTCTTACATGAACGTGGGTGCCATCACTAGTCCCAATATTAACCATTTAAGACTGTTATGACAGTCTGCCTAGTGGTAAGGCAGGTCCAGCTCCTGCCTATGACAATACAATAGAACTGGAACAGCAACATCTGCATTATTGGCTACCAAAATGTAAAGATCTTTGTAGTTATATAAGTGACAGTGCAAGCTTCAAACAGTCCCAGTTCCCGAGCAGCAATTTAAATAAGGATTCCATACACAAACATGCATATGGTGATTTATTTATTTATTTACAAGATTTTTTTTTTAGCTGCACCATTACCAGTGGTCTCTGAGCGGCGTACAACAATATTAAAACTTTAAAAACATTAAAAATAGGCAATATTCTTGATTTAGAATTCAAGAATGTGCTCATGTACAGTTTGGATCTAGGGTGTGTTTCCATATCACATGATCCATATCTGAGTATGAAGATAGTACAGTTGTGAAATGTAATGTTGCATAGTTCAAGGACAACACAGTTTTATGAGAATTGTATATTTATTCATTGTTTCCAATGAAGTCATAAAGTCAATATGAGCTGGTACGGTGGGAAAGAAAAGGTTTTCCACAGCTATAAAATTTAACAACATGGTAAATAACTTGACCACTGAGCAAGTTCTTTACAAAAATTGCCCATTTTTGGTAGGGCAACTAAATATACTGTAAACTAGCTATGTATTATAAAAACATGTAGTCTGAATACAGTATAATTGATTCTAAGTATTTTGTATTGTGCCGATTGTTTTTGGTGCTTTTGCATATAATTGTTAAAGGAAATTGCGGGTTATTGTACATACCTCTTCAGTCATCACCATGGGAGCATTTTCTGTGTATAATGTATGCTTTGGGTTATATTGGCTGACTTTTAATTCAAACAAACATGTATAATATGTGTGTTTGAGTCAAATGACATGGACTTCGACAACACAAGCTGTGTAATAATGGCAAAATGTGTTAGGTTAAGAGTTTGCTGCTAACTATGTTGTTGCTAAAGGAAAGCTTTGCATTCTAGTACTGAATTTAAAATTTAAATGGGAAGTTATTTTTGTCACCTGTTTCTGATGGACAGAAATGTTTTATATATGTTTATGGTCTGTTTGTTGAGTAGATATGTAAGATTACCCAGTGATGGATGCCAAAGTATCAGTTAAGTGTAACTGTTAAGTATATGCTCAAACTATGCTGCTAAAAACTGGAATATTACACTGCCAGACTCTGGGATACATGGTAAATATCTGGAACAATATTAAAAATTGTGTTTATTGTGTTCTCATTATATTTGTATAACAAGAGTGGGGAAAGTGCTAAGAGCTCACTGATAGCAATGTGGAAATTGTATCTTTTGTGCTTAATCCTGAAGGAATAGAAAGAGCAAAACATTCTTAATTGTTCTTAAGAGCCTGGCAGTTACTTTTGATAGCACTGCTCTCTATCTCTGAAGCAAAGGTCAAAATCTTCCAGCAGAAGGTGGTGCGAAGGCCATTGGTAATCAAGGCGCAGATGGTCGCCAAAAGAGAACAAATTCTCCAGGAACACATGCATTTTGTAACACTCTGTGACAACATCTCAGTATGTTAGAGTTTCCAGACTGGAGGAGTATCTGCTGGAACCTGCAAATTTATGTATTCCCATGTGTGATATATTCTGGCCTTTAAACCAGAAGAGACGTAGAAGGGGCTCTGTTTTAGAAGGTAGCTAGAGGAGGAATAGGCTTAGGGAGGTTATAGCATCAGTAGCAGCTACAGCTCTAAGTACTTGGTCTGACTGACCAAACCTTTGTAGTGCAACATGGGTTGGGATGGAAATTCCTCTTTGGGGACAAGGGAATTCTCACACAATACGTTGATTGAGCACTCCTCTCATGAAGCTCTGTCTCTGCATGTGTCACATTAAAATCAAATTTGTGTGCTTACAATGGGTGTGAAAAAAGTTTAGCATTAACACTGAATCCGTAGAACAGATAGTTTGTGGCATTTAATTGAAAAGAAAAACATTTCAAGCCTTGAGTGGCACCAGTTTGGTCTATCCAATAAAAGTGAGAAAGAACATAATGTTTTTAAAAATGAATAGTATTATATGAAGGAAGTTGGCGGTTGCACCTCCTCCCTTTAGCCAATCCCTCCTCCTGCATATCATTTGTTATGGTTTAATAACTAATCAGGCTACACACATAAACAAAAAATAAAACCACTCTTAAAAACTGACGGTTGATTTCTAATATCTAAGAAAATGTGAACAATCAGCAAAGAGACAAAATAATCATTCTCTGGCAACACCAGAGAATAAAACTAACATATAAAAATGTGTGAGGCAAGCAATGAATGCCATCTTTCTGTAGCCAATTTAACAAATGTGGAGGTCCTGTGAGAAATAGTCTGTGCCAGCTAATAAAAATAGCATTTTAAATAACAGAGGATCACTTCTAATCCCAATTGTTAAGGGTTCAAGGACACAGGAGACATTCCAATAGAAAATGTATCATATCCTCCATCTTGGAACATCCTGCGGGGCAATGTTTGCTTACACCATGCTGTTCTTTATAATTTCCCTGAACTTCTAGCTGCAGGAAATTCAGTCTACATTTGACCAAAAACCATCTCGGCCACTGGTAGCCTAGTAGCCTTCAGAGGAATCAACCTTCCCCCATCACTTGTCCTGGGACACTGTCCATTCCTAAAATTTGGGTTTCAATAGGACATAATGATACAACAATAGAATTCGTTTGATGAAAATAGACTGCCATTCCTAAAGTAAAAACAATAAACCCTTTAAGGGGGGAACAAAAGAGGAGAAGGATAGAGAAGAATTGCTGGGCATAAAAAAAATCTTCCTGTTATACTACCATCATTTTCATTTATTAAAAATATCCCATTCACAAGAGCTGAATGCGTTTGGAAGAAAAACAAAATACTCTCAAGTTCCATTAATTAAATGCCCAGACACTAATCACTGGACCCACTTCCAAATGTCACATCAGCTCGCAACTCCTTGAAAACAAAAGGGTGTCCTTAAGGGGCTCTATGGAGAACTAGGTTATAATTAGTCACATTGTTTTTATATATAAAACCCTGGTTTATTCTGCAGCAACAAGAACACAAGAATTTCAATTAAATATTTTGAGAAAAGTAACCAACTACAGACAATGCAATGGACTGTTGTCAATCTGTTATTACAAAGGAACCACATCTTCTTATTGTTATTTCTCCTCCCCTGCTGAAGGCTGGATGTCATCATGGTTGTGTTAACTTTGGATGCAGCTGCTCCTAATAATCCTGTGATTGCTGGAAAGAATGTTCCAGTTTGGAACACATAATTGGAGTAATCTAAGGTCAGCAACCTCAGAATAGGATGGCAGGATTTTGACTATTGAGTAAGAATTTAAAGGGACAAATAGGATCTACAACAAAATGTTGCAGTATCTAGTCCTGTTGTTCAAGTTTCCAACCAAGCAATTGCACCCCTTTAAGTTTTAATTCCCCATTCTTGGGCTCTTCATTGGACTGTTTGTGGTGGATTACCCCCTTTATTTTCTCTGCTAAAATCTGTCTGTACTTAAGTAATCTTTGGGATCCCCTCAGAGTCTCATGACACTTCCCTCTTGGGTGTAGTTGTTGCCATTTTGGTTACTTAAACACCTTCACTTTGAGAAATGGAATCCTGTTTGTACATACAAGTGGGGCCTGCAACATAACATTGCAGTGTGTAACAGTCCTGTTGAACGGTTCAGCCACTCCATTTCATTCTTCCAACCTATGAGTTTCCAGTTTTTTCTCTCTAAACATCCACCCTGATTCAACCCTCACAAAGTTGAAGTGCTCTTGAAAATCATCTTGGTTATTGGACACTTCCCCTAAAGTAGAATATTGTTTAATGATAAATCATTTACATGATCATGCAGTGTTGCCGTCTTCCTTATTATTACAAAACAGTGGCCATGTTACTTTATAGACAGACTACTGCTGGCCTCATAAAACTAGAAGGTTTATTGTGTTGTGAATATTATAGGTAAGAGCCTATATCATTGCTTCGTACCTTGGAGGAAAGGTGTACTGCAATAAATTACTTTGAAGGGATCATGGAGCTTTGTGATTTTCAATTAATTCTAGTTCTTTCTTCCTTAGAAGATAGCAGCAGCTCAACAATCAAAATTGGTATGAGCCGTTGTGGCTGAAAAAGAAGCTAGGAAAAGATTGTGCCTTTTCACACAGTGGGGAAAAGCAGAGGAAATGGCTTAAAGTTCCACCGCCCCCCCCTTGCTTTCAGTGTGTCCTGCTTCATTTTCAGCCTATGTAATAAGCACTCTTATTTCTATAAGGTTACCTTCTTGTGTCACTTATTCCTCCCTGTTATTTACGTATATCCACATCCCCTTGAAAATATAATAAATATTCCAAAATCTGCCTTTGAGAATACATTCCATAATCTGTAAATTTAATGAATATGCTTTTCACTCTCTTCACCTAGATAATTACAAGCATCTAGACAACTAAATAAAGGTTGCAATAAAGGTTGCAATGTTCAATCTCTTGTGATTTAGTCTTATTATTGCACTGGAACTAATTTCTTGCATATACTGTATTCTAAGACATTGTCAGTGAAAACATTTTGCTTTTACATGCAAGGTAAAGCAGGAACAACAGTCAGCTTCAATTTAATGTCATAGCATTGTTTACAGTTCAACTTTCTGAAATGGACAGATCTTGGAACAGACCTTGCTATGGTCTACAGGTTTGACCATCATCCAAGCATACTTGCACAAATGATTTTTGTTGCAGTCCTGTTGCCAGTAGATAACATTCCTGCGATTCAGATTTGCACCAGCACAGGCATCATACCACCATCCTCCACCAGGTATGCCATTGTACTCTAGCTTAGCGCAATTTTGGAAATAATTGTCATTGTCTCTGTCTTTTGTGGTGAACTTCTGGTTATCATGGAGATAGGCTTCTGTATCCTGACACAGGGCATCACCAGCATTACCTTTATACAGACCAAGCCTGATCCTGTATTGAGATGTTTCATCTTCAATAAGGAATGGTTCATACTCTCCCCACTTGATTTGAGCATTTAGGTCTACAAGTTTAACTCTAAGTTTGTACAGCGTTGGAGAGCTAGTTAATTGATGCATGTATTCATTGCCTAGCCAGTAGTTGTCATTAACTGAGCCAAATCCATATTTGTAGTCCTGCCAGGTTCTGTCAAAGTCTACAGTACTGTTTGCAGTAATATGCTGAATTACTGTCCAGCCACCATCTTGCATATTGCAGTACACACCAATGGGTTCCTTAGCTGGCTGAATGACATAAAGACCATCACTGGCATTTTCTTCAGACTGTTTAAAAATCTCACTGCAGTCTCTTGGATGCTCTGTGCACAGAGGGAAACAAGGAAACCTTTAATATTATATTTTTAGTCTGGCCTACTGATCTGCTATTAATATAAGAAGTGTATTATTTTTTTCCAAGATTTGAGGTTCGAACATAATTGATTCAGAAATCATGTAAAATGTGCAGGTTATATGTGGATGCATACTGAAATCAATGGTAGCAAAAATATAGATAAGAAGTGGCCTTGAAGAGACAGAAATTAATCACAGGATGATTCCACTAAGTGAAATGCTGAAAGTCCCTGCAAGGTTAATTATGATGTTAATTGAGATTTTGCAATATGAAGGCTGATATAACTGAATTCAGTAACACACACACACACATTAAGATGATCCCTCTCCCTTTTTTGTTCACACACAAAAACACGTATAGGGTAAATCCTGTACATTTGTTATATATCCTATATTCAGCTTGCAAAGCTACAGAGAGAGAACAAAATAACAGTATTGTTTCTTGGTTCTGATTGCTGTTAATTTTAGAGCTAGGGTAATGACAAATAATACAGTTATGGTTCAATAAAAGCAATTTTTCATTTTCTGCAAGTGAAGGAGGAGAAAGGCCATGTAGCCTATATTCAGAGTAAATGACATAAGGGCTTCCTTTTATCCTTGTCTCTAAACAAAATACAAAACAATGGTTCTTCAAGACAAAGCAATATTTGTCTTGAAATCCTCCAGCCAAGCTGAATTTTAGTTTCCTCACACTGGGAGCACTGAAGCTGTCCCTGTGGACCCCAGGTCCTTGAGAAGGAACAGACAGCATCTCAAATGGAGGATGCTTGGCACCACACTCAGTCTAGAAAGCCGAAATCCTCTCCTGGTCCATCAGAGCAATGCCAAGCAAAGGGGGAAGCCTGGCTAGAGGCATGTAGAAGAGCTGCCCAGTTCTGATGGAAGGTCTCCTTGGGATTAAGGGCATGGTCCTGAGAATTAGCCTCTGTTCATCGTGTGACCAAAGACTAGGTGGGCAACATGTGAGCATTGCATGAGCTCTCAGCAACAGTAATCTCAGCAGCCTCGCATGGCCCTCTGGCTCCTGAAGGTTCATAGCTGAGAACAAATTGTTCAATAATTGTTCAATTGTTACCAGCCAATTGTTACTCCTGGATGCCTTGCTGTGCATGACCCGGACTGTCTTTGTTGCTCTCTCTGTTTCTCTGTCATTCAACTACTGTTTATTTTCTTGGCTATTAATATTCAACAATCAGCTTTGGCTTGGATGCTTCTTGTCTGAAACGAGGGAGAATTCCCTGACTGCTTGCCTAGACTGTCTGTTAGTTACCCTCTTGAAGACTTATCACTGTTATAGGCTTCTGTAGCACCTGCTGGAAGTTACTGCTTCAAAGCAAGACAGTGTTAAAAACTAGGACTGTCCTCTCCAACAATTATCATTTATCTCCCAGTCCAGAACATGAATCCTAAGAATCCCAATACACTTAAAGAGCTGAGCAGTTTATAATAGTTTGACATAGCTTTTGTCTTTCAATAGTAAGTACCATGGATTTGCTGTGAAGGTAAGAGTCTTTTTTTGTAACCCATCAGTGGGTTAAATACTCATTCATATTTAGCTCGAGTGAAATGAATGGGGTTGAAGTCACTTATTAGAAAACTATGTTCCATTGATTTCAGTGGGTATAATCTAAATATTATTAAGTTTAAAAATCATTATTTTCTATGATGTCACACTGGAGAATTGGTCTTAGCCTTAGATTCCAGCTAACAGAATATCAAGGGACCATGACAGTGAGAAGAAAAAAGGAACACGAAGAGAGGATTTTGAAACGGAAACTGAAAACCAGCTTCTTTGTGATTCTTTGATTGCAATATTATGTCTCAGCTGCAAAAATACTGTTGACAAGGTCCTGCTGTAACAAAAGGACATCACAAAAATAAAGCCAGTAGTCTATTATTATACATCCTCCACCTTCCTGTACACATGTAAAGATGATTCCAACTTCAGAGCAAAGATCAATTTAATTCAGCATCTTGTTTCATGCCGTTGCTAATGAGAAGCTTGGAGAAGGTTAAAAAGTAGGGCATAAGAATGACACTGCCCTATTACTATCTCTCCAGTGGTATTCTGTGGCTTGCCTCTATATGCTGGCTAAAAAATAGACAGGCCAAAAAGTAGACAGTAAATTCGTCATAACACGTCTAGCTCCTTCTACACCAAAGGCCATAGCTATACCTTGTGGCAATGAATTCCATAAATTAGGTATGGATAGTCTGAAGGAGGATTTTCTTTTTTTTCTCTCCTGAATTTACTGCCAATCAGTTTCATTTGGAACACTATGCATTCTAAAATTATGGGAGAAGGGGAAAAAACAATATATTTCTTGTCCCCATTCTTCGTAGTCATCTTTCTTTTTTTCTAAAATAAAAAATCATGTGTCTTTCACTTTTTCCTCAAAAGGAATGTGCTTCTATTTCTGAATCATCTTGGCAGAGTAATTCTTTTGGACTACGTCTCCCATAATCCCCCAGCCAGAAGAGCTACCGGTCATGCTGACTAAGGAACTCTGGGAGTTGTCATCCACGCAAGCAACATTCCCAAGTTTTGAATGTTGATTTCTCTTTTTCAAACATTGCACAGGCACACCGCATACCACACTTGAAGGTACCTTCCGCATTAAGGTTGATCAGTCTCTTATAGCCTCCTGGTGGAAGCAGGTGAACATTGGCCAGTTCAACAGCCTTCTCTGCTGCTGTCTGTAGTCCACAGTGAAAGAGTACCAGAAGAATCCATCCCACTGAATTTTTCAGATTCATTCTCCCTCTTGAAGAAGGCACTCAGATGGAAGCTGGAAACTTAATAGGGATTGGCATTTAGCATGAAAAGCCTGACTGCTCACAGTGAAAACCTCCTGAAGAGAAAATGAAATGAATCAGGATCTGCCAAAAATGACTCCCTCTGCTCTTGCGAGTCAGTTTAAAAAAACAACAACAACAAAAAACGTCACAGTGTATTTGTGATGGAACACAACTTTGACATGTGCAACTGTCCTGGCACAGAGAAGACATTTCATCTTGTTATTATGATACCAATCAGTGTGCTATAGCAGGACTGCATGCATGAAAAAAGCTAATAGAAAATAATGCCCCAGCAATGATTAAATTCTAAAAGCATATCTCTCCTTTATCAGAACTGATCTGTCATATTCCCTTGGTCATGTCTCAAATGAAATCATAGTACAGGAAGAAAGGCCTTGAGCATTCTAGCCTCCCCAACCTCCAGCTTGGCTTGAGCAGGCTGCTGGGAGAGCAGCTACTCCATAGCAAAATGTCGAGGTAATGGACAGGGCTTTCAAACATCAGATGTCAGTTCTTATGTGCAAACAAGTATCCATGATGATTCATGCCCATTGCTCAGTAAGCACAAGCTTTCACATGAACAAAATAAAATAAACCTCTTAAGATTTTCAAACACTGCGATCTAAAATCTATACAAATTTAATATCCCATCAATGTAGATACAACAAAAATCAGTGTATCACTTATGTATCATAATCTGAAGAAGTTATCTGAGTCAACTGCATCTTGCTTCTGCTTTCTTCCAAATTATTCATTCAAGACCAAGGGGAAATATAAAATCCTACAATGGTAACGCTAGAAGCAACTCTAAGGGCCATTGAGTCCCATGCCCTGCTGAAGCAGGAAGTCTGTAGTTAAAGGATCCTGCCAGATGACCATCCAAACTCTGTTTAAAAATCTCCAGTGAAGGAGAGTCTACCATAGTTTTCTGTTCTTTTTCAGAAGGATTTGTACTACCTCTATGCAATAATTTATTTTAGTTCATATATTTCCTAAAGTAAAATCCAACTCATCGTTTTGAATCCCTTTTCAGGTAAAGTGAGAGTACCGATCACAATGGAATTTGCAATTGTCCATACCTAAAGCTGCAGTCCCATACACCCTGACTTGGGAGGAATTCACAATGAAGTCAGTGGGACCTGTTTCTTTGGCACAGTACTGTATATTACACCTGTGCTGTACTAATTTGACTTAAAATTCACATTCTCACTGATTCTGAGAAATGTATGACATAGTTGTACTTCTACTTACTTGGTTCAATATGACTTCCTCTCAGATAGCAGTGTACAAGTCTGCAGCCTGAGGAAAGGGTAATACTATCACTTGGATTTGTTTAAACTTCACACTGAAGACATGCACTGGCTTCTGTACTATATATGACATTTAAACATGATTCTTATTAAACCTAGAAAGGAACTTTTGATTAGGGAGCGGAAACAAAGAAGAAATAAAGACAACTGAATGAGAGGACAGCTTACCTTCCTTATTCAAGTTGATGACAGGTAACTAGACTTGTCACTATGGATAAGTCTTTGGATATGCAGTTTGTTTAATGCTGAAGTCCAGATACAAGAGTTCAGCCCACAATTTGTATCTTAAACAAAGAACGGCAACAGTTTTCAAAAGCCTTTGTATCTCCAGTATATGTATCTTTTGGCTGGTGGACTTTATCACGTAGAACCCACAAATAAGCATCTTAAAAGTCCAAAGTTCCATTAATCACAAGAAAGTTATCGCTACTGACACTCTTCTGCTTATTGAAACAACTTTGTGTGATGGCAATACACTAGTCATAGGCCACAATTCTCATGTTTACAGTTGAGTCCTCCTCTGTCACTGTATACCCAACATGGGTGGCAAGATCTCTACAGGATGAAGAACGAGAAAGGTCAGGAGTCAGCTTTGATGACTGCCTGTGGACACCAGAAGTCAAAACAGGTGCCTGTTGAGGGTCATGATGCAGCAAGAACTGTACTGGCAGCCCCTTCAACCTTCTAGTTCTCTACCTCCTCCTCCTTGCCATCTCTAGCTGTTAACCATCAAGGGACAGAGTTTGTAAAGGGGTTTTTTTAAACGTCTATCAGCTAAGCGAGCAGAAGAATTTTGAGAGTTGCAGCAAATAATAGATTAACGTTTTCAACTCTGTTAAAGGCTTCTATAAATGAGAGACCAACATTAAGTTCTATCATCAAGGGGCAGCAGTGAGAGACAGTAAACACACACAGACACATTTATGAGCTGGTCACTCGACTGTAATAAATAAATTCATTCATACACACACATTTTGTAGCCTCGTGTGATGAAAATGTTCCACTGAGTATAATTTCCAGATACAGAGTGTTATGAATATGGGCAAAGTTCTTCACACATAGTTACACATGAAGGAGATGATCGAGTGAATGGTGTTTTGTTTGTTTTTTTACAGTTTTTGAAAATGTATTAATATAGCTTATGTGTGTGTGTTTAGTCGTTTAGTCGTGTCCGACTCTTCGTGACCCCATGGACCAGAGCACGCCAGGCCCTCCTGTCTTCAATATAGCTTATCCTTCCAGTGTATTTCAGGGTAGATAATAACAAATAAACCAATATAATCACTATTCATTCATTCATTCATTCAATCATTCAATCAATCAATCAATCAATCAATTTCTACTCTGCCCATCTAGTGGCAAGCCACTACTCTGGGCACTTTACAACAAATAAAAACATACAGTCAAAGAAGACTTTCTGCTAAAGAAGAAAAACCCATCCCAATAACCCACCCACATGACAAGTAAACTAACAAACACTGATCCCAAGATGGGTTTGGCAATAACGTATGTTAAACAATAAACAACTCATGTAATCAGAGATAAATTAAATTAAATTAAGTAGGGAGAGCATTTCCAAAGACCTGCCTAAAGAGCGATGTTTTTATTTGCCTTCCAAATGTTAGACAGGTGGGGGCCTTCCACACCTCTACTGGTAGGGTATTCCATAACGAAGCAGCCTCTAACACCGCATTTTGAATGGATCTTGCTTTCCTGTCTGTTTTCTTCACTATCCAGTGTTCACATCCATACACAAGTAACAGAGAATATCATAGAACGGCCTTGATCTTAAATTTCTTAATTTCAATGAGAAACAATGTATTCATTTAAAACTGCTATTAAAAATATATGTCTATATAGAGAATATACCACCAGCAGAAAATATGAGTTGAATGTAAGCCGCCCCGGGTAGACATTGTCTAGAGGGGCGGGGTAAAAATCAAATAAATAAATAAATAACGTTCTTTTGTAGGTCTATGTATCGTGTAAAGATATATTTATTACATACAAATTAGACATGAGAAAACAGTTCATGCTGACTATGCACTCAATTGCTTCAAGCACATTTCTTCATTCCAGTTGATTTCTTGTGCCAGAGTTGGACTGAAAGCAAATGTTCCTGCAGAGGACAGAAGAAACTATTTGAAAGAAAAGCAACATAGTTATCTGTAATTAGTTACTTCTTCAGTGATAAGCAATTCAACTACTTATTGAACATAAAAGATATTTCAAATTAGTTACTTCCTTTATACAGACCAAGTGTATTTTTAAAAATATTTCCAAGGTGCAGTATCAAAATTGGCTAGTAGAGAGCATCAGAGTTTATTTCCCTGTATTTTAAGTGCAATTGGATTAATTATATCCATGTTTGGAGCGCTAATAATGACAAACCTGGCTACCAATAAGTAATGAATAGCAATGATTTCCTTTTAAAATATTACATCCAACCTCTGAGTTTCAAGTAACAGAGTTGCAGTGTAGCAAGCACCCTGCAGTTACTGATTTATATATGAATAGGAGAGTCATGTAACACAATGCTCATGGCTGCACCATCATGTCTCATTGGGTCGTGGGTACACTAATGTTTGAAACATTTCATACAATTGCACATAAAATGCATCCTATAATCAGCCAGAAGTACATACCAAGGTAGCCATTGGTAAGCCACTTTCTTTCCAATTATATTTACACTTAAACAAATCTTTCTTTTAATTTCATCGTGCATTTCACTACTTGTCTTTACATTTTAGTTGGAAAAACAGAAGTTAAGTGGGTGGTTTAAAAATCAAACAGAAGAGGCAGCTGCCTTCTTTCTCAGCTTTCCAGGGAAGCAGTTGTGTTTCACTGTTGAAGAAGCTCTTGAAGGGATCATTTCACTCATATCTGTCTGTTGTCTGATTTAAGGCTCAGTAGGATTCCTCAAATCACAGCTGATGGCCACTTGAGGTGGTCCCTCATACAGGCACAGAACTGCTTATTGAATCAGCACCTCCATGCAATCCCTGTTGGGTCAGTCATGAGAGGATTGCTCATCAAAACAGTCCCCCTATTGTTGAAGAACTTGTTCTAATCCTTTGTTGCCCTGAAACTCATGGGAAGTTTTATTTTCCACTGACTGAGCTTGTTTATCTTGCCAACAGTGGGTACCACAAAGTGTCCTCACAGCTAATACGCTTCAGCGTTCACAATCCCATCTTTAAAATCAACAAACAAGAGACCTGCTTTGTTTTTTTATTTTATGTTTTGGGAGATGAAAGGCATCTAAACTTCCTTCCTCTTCTTCTTTTACTCCTAATAGTTCCCATTACTTTGAGAAAACTGAGGCTTGGACTACTTAATAAGAAAAATGTCAAAGACTATTGACCTAACAGAATAAACAGAATCATGTTGAGTGACAGTTGGAGGTGACCATCTTTGAATGTGATCCCATGGGGACAGAAATCACTACAATTTATGCATGCATACTTGTGCGCACCTCTACTACATAAGACATCAATGCCTAAACCAAATAAGAGCTCGCAACAAGAATAGACCTGTATTTATTTGTTTGTTTGTTTGTTTGTTTGTTTGTTCATATGTCCGTCCGTCCGTTCATTTTTATCCCACCCAACTAGTAGCTACACTACTACTCTGGGCAATTAACAAGAA